ATATATATATATATATATATATATATATATATGTATGTGTGTGTGTTTTATTGTTTATGTTTGTGTGTGTGTGAGAGGGGGCTCAAGTTAAGCAGGGCAATCAACATCACACATCTTTTCAAAACGTTTTTAAAAAAAAGGATTTCCATTTAGGGAAGGAGTCGACTACTTACCGGAGGGTGTATCCGTCCGACCCTTTGCGTAATCGGATCCGTGGTAACCACCTCCACGCGGCAGCTTTCCCCTCGCCGGACGCTGGACACGACCAGGTCCTCGCGACCCAGATACGTCGACCGCCCTATATCCACGAGGATGTCCTTTTGCCGGACCACAAGCTGGGCCGGACAGTCGCGTGGTATCAGCAGCAGAACCGTTGCCAGGACGACCAGCACGGTCGATTGGCTCGCTTTACCCGGCGTCGTCTTCGCCATGATGACTAACCGGAAGTTGATGAATAGAGACCAGAATTTCACTTCAAGCTCTCTGGGACTTCCTCCTTCATTCTGAATCTCCGCTGTGCGCTTTGTGAAGGGCGACAGCTTTAAGAAAAATAAAGGGAACAGCTCAGAAGCTGTTCTTTTAATCCAGCCTAACTGCAGCGCTGAATGCGTTGAGTATTTTCTTTTAATTTGATTTGAACTTATAATTTATTTCCTATACAGAAGAAACAAATATGTGTAAACAAATTTAATAAGAACAGCCGTTATATATAAATATATATATATATATATAAATAAAAGCAGCTGTTTTATAGACAGCCTAAAAGCTGATGGATGACATCAGTGGAGCTGTTTAGGGTGTCTCCCATCGAAAAGATCGATCCATGATTTATTTATTTCGGTGCATGAAAGATTAAGTTGAAGACGAACACTTCACATACAGCTGAGCGTGTTGGGGGAAAGGGGCCCCAAATGGGCTGAAAATTCCCCGGTCCAAAAAAAAGGAGGGGGGGGGGGTCTTCTAAATCACGTCTGTTACATCTTTACGTCTGTGTGGAATCTGAAAATACAGAAAGCGGTGTGTCAAGAAAAATAACAATAGTTGGACGACATCAGACAGAACAGTTGTCGTTCATTTGTCATACAGTTGCCATAAATTTGTCATACAGTTGCCATAAATTTGTCATAAAGTTGTCACACATCTGTCATACATTTGTCATACAGTTGTCATACATTTGTCACAGTTTGCATACAGTTGTCATACAACTGTCATACAGCTGTCACTTATTTGTCATACAGTTGTCATACATTTGTCACACATTTTTTATAGCACTATGACTACGAAATCTTTGGTGTAAGATTTTAAAAAAAAACGACTTGAAACAACCATATCTATGATGTCATCACGTCTAAACAGAGCAGCAGATGAATCTTGCAACAAATACTGGAGTATAAAATCTACATCTACCAGGTAATTACAATGAATTGACAATGTTCAACGAAGCATGACATTCTCGCACATTTGCATATGAGGACAATTTTGTGTTGTTGAAAACCTGTTTTAGTAGCTCAAGCAATAATTTTTTTTTAAAAGCCGATTACAAATATAGTTTTAAATGAGTTTTATGTTACAAATTGTGCCAATAAATAAATATAAATTAACAACTACTATTATCCCAATTGTGAAAAATGTGTTTAATTAAGTTTATTTATTTTTAACTCAGCCAAAAAAAAAGATTAATTAATTGATGTCAGTTTAATTACTTAGTGCATAATGAACAGCTGTCCCATCTCATCACATTGCATTCTGTTCACATCTAACATCCCATAACTTCCTATCTCATATACAAATTTCATAAAAACATGTCTCGTACACAAGTCTCATAAATTTCTATCTCATACACAACTCTCATAAATTCGTATCTCGTACACAAGTCTCATAACTTCCTATCTCGTACACAAGTCACGTAACTTCATATCTCGTACACAAGTATCACATCTTCCTATCTCGTACACAAGTCTCATAACTTCCTATCTCGTACACAAGTCACGTAACTTCCTATCCCGTACACAAGTATCATAACTTCCTATCTCGTACACAAGTCTCATTAATTCATATTTCGTACACAAGTGATGCCAGTGAAGATGAATAATCCCCTCCCCCCCCCCGAAAAAAACAGCACTCACACTAACAGGCAGACAAGAGTAGTTGGATAACATCACAATCCCGGCGTAATAATTGATTGATATGTTAATGATTTGTTGATGTTTTGTGCGTACGTCTTTGGTGCCGAGAGTATTCGTGTAGCTTTTTCTATGTGCTTTGTATTATGTTCCGTATTTGGGCATGGTAAAAGACGTGTTGTGAAGATTTTTATGCTTTGGAATAGCGGCAGTGATGGAGAAGTTAGTAAAGGAGTACAAGTTGTTCATTTAATAAAATAAAAATAATTAATAATTCTCTGTCAAACAATTAAATTACCACTATACAACGAAGCCATTGAGCTGTTAATTCCATTCGCATATATATATATATATATATATATATATATATATATATATATATATGTATGTGTGTGTGTTTTATTGTTTATGTTTGTGTGTGTGTGAGAGGGGGCTCAAGTTAAGCAGGGCAATCAACATCACACATCTTTTCAAAACGTTTTTAAAAAAAAGGATTTCCATTTAGGGAAGGAGTCGACTACTTACCGGAGGGTGTATCCGTCCGACCCTTTGCGTAATCGGATCCGTGGTAACCACCTCCACGCGGCAGCTTTCCCCTCGCCGGACGCTGGACACGACCAGGTCCTCGCGACCCAGATACGTCGACCGCCCTATATCCACGAGGATGTCCTTTTGCCGGACCACAAGCTGGGCCGGACAGTCGCGTGGTATCAGCAGCAGAACCGTTGCCAGGACGACCAGCACGGTCGATTGGCTCGCTTTACCCGGCGTCGTCTTCGCCATGATGACTAACCGGAAGTTGATGAATAGAGACCAGAATTTCACTTCAAGCTCTCTGGGACTTCCTCCTTCATTCTGAATCTCCGCTGTGCGCTTTGTGAAGGGCGACAGCTTTAAGAAAAATAAAGGGAACAGCTCAGAAGCTGTTCTTTTAATCCAGCCTAACTGCAGCGCTGAATGCGTTGAGTATTTTCTTTTAATTTGATTTGAACTTATAATTTATTTCCTATACAGAAGAAACAAATATGTGTAAACAAATTTAATAAGAACAGCCGTTATATATAAATATATATATATATATATAAATAAAAGCAGCTGTTTTATAGACAGCCTAAAAGCTGATGGATGACATCAGTGGAGCTGTTTAGGGTGTCTCCCATCGAAAAGATCGATCCATGATTTATTTATTTCGGTGCATGAAAGATTAAGTTGAAGACGAACACTTCACATACAGCTGAGCGTGTTGGGGGAAAGGGGCCCCAAATGGGCTGAAAATTCCCCGGTCCAAAAAAAAGGAGGGGGGGGGGGCCTTCTAAGTCCCGGCTGTTACATCTTAACGTCTGTGTGGAATCTGAAAATACAGAAATCGGTTTTTCAAGAAAAATAACAATAGTTG